CCTGGTGTAGGTACAGGGAGTGGTGGTGAAGGCCATGGTTGATAAATCCATGAATGCCAAGCTTGTAGAGGTGAAGGTCTTTCCAGGCCAAGGGCAGAGGCACTAGGAGAGGTAGAATGACATCAGTCAAACCATCCATGATAATCAACAACGTCACACCAGGATCAGCAACAGCCTCCTGTTGGTGGAGGTGATAAGCTTTCCACTCCACCTCAATGAGCTTGAGGTGATCCAGCTTCCACTGCTTCAGCTGCGCCCACTCTCTTGTGCTCATTGTCCAGTTGGTGAGGGTGTCATTTGTTGAGGCACAGATATTGCACTGCCTGAGGACACAGAACCAAGGGAACTTGATGTGCCTGTGTTCACCTTTGAACATCTTACAGAAGTGAGTGAGACTCAACAGCTTTGTGTGGGTGAAGTGCTGGGCATTCAAGGCATCCAAGTATTTCTGGTAGAGGTGATCCTTGGTCATGATCATTGGCATGTAGATGGAGGTTGAGTTGGGAGCATGACAGCTGTACTGGAGTAAGGGAGAAGGTGTGCAAAACAGGTGATGAGTATTGTGTATGTGTATGTGATAAAAACACTGGTGATTTATGGTAGTTGTGAGCATGATTAATGAGGATATTCTATTGTGTATGTGTATGTGATAGATAAGGGAAGTAATACCATGTTGGTGTACATGGTTATCCATGTGCTGGCCCAAGCCATAGCATTGGTGGAGGTCCTTCCAGTTCAAAGAGTATCCACAATGGAGAAGTTGGCCATTTTGTTCTTGGAGATTCCATAAGCAAGCATGAACGCCTGCCTGCAAACATGCTACTGGTGTAGTGAGGGAGCTATCTCCAATGAGCTGTAGTGTTGACAATACCTGTTGATGTAAATGGTAGAGTTGACAGTGGAGTGGTTGGTTCTCCATCAATGTCCTCAGCCATTGGTGTGAAGCTGCCTGGGTCATGCTGAGATATTGGATGCAGCATGCTTGTATCTGTGATACATTGAACTTTGTGCAGACAGAGTGCAGAAC